GTAGCATGAACCTTATTGACTACTTTGTCTGTAGTAAGTAAAGGAGGGTATGATCAACAAGAATATCTCGATAAAATTAGATAAAAAAAGCCTTCGGTAAAAGCTCAAGGATTATGGAAAAAATGGATTGGGTAAACTAATGTTTACTGAGAATTTAATAAATAGAAGATTATAGAAGAGAAATATAACTTGGATTGATTAACTATTAATTAAAGGTAAAGCACAATTGATTTTGAATATGTTGCAATATTTTTTTCTCAAAGTTTATAAAATTAAAAGAAGTTGACCTATACGACTTGTTTTTTAAGTACCAAAATAAAGACGGTTATTAAATGTTTAAACACATTCTGAATCAGCGTTTAAGTCTAGACATGTCTTAATAGTTAATGTTATCTTAAGAACGTTTGAGCAGGTATTACCAAAGTAATATTTCTGAGTTAAATGATTGTTTTAGTGACCAAAGTGCACATAAAGAGGGAGAGATCTACTCCAAATCTGGCAGATTAGTAATCTGCTCATCAGGATTCAAACTTGCCACACCACATGAATACAGGATGCGAATTCATTTTTGTTTTGTGCTCAGTACTTACTGAACACATGATTATAGATGCACATCTCTGCCTCTTCTAGGTCTTATATGGAATTTTTTTTTCTTTCTTATCTGCATCTAAGACTAGAAGGATAGACGAAATATTCATGAAAAGTTGGGATTTTCTATGCTGACGGATTCCCGCCTCAAATTATCGTGCCGATTCAGCCATCTCTTCAAGACTATTCGTTTCAAATTATTTTCTGTTTCCAACTCGAAAGTTACCGAACAAAAGTCGATTTATTTATTAGATACTATTTCACCTTATACTATAACATAGGTTCATATTGATGACTATTATTATTGTTTTGTTTATTTGGCTTAATTATTTCTCAATGAATTGGAAGTGATCGAATATATGACAATGCATTAATCCCAGTTATAGAATTGAGGAAAACAAAGATAATTGTCCGTTTCACAAATATTCCATTTATTATTAACATGGTTTTTGCGTGTCAAGACATTGTCAGGTACAGATTAAAATAGCTTGTAAACAGGTTTAAATACGTTTAACTAAAGATCCGATTTGGAACTTAGACATTCACTATTTGGCAAGTGGGGAGAAACTTAAATTTAGTTTTTTATTTATTCATGAGCTTTCCAGGCTGTTTAGCTTTTTTAGGTCATACAGGAGATCCCATAGAAACATTTGGATATCCTCAATATTTATCAATATTTTCGGTCGTAATTCCAATAGTTTCAGTGAGCTTAAGAGAATTAGGTTAGTCCTGTCCGAGTTTGATGCTTTCATGCATTTTTCCTTATAACTTTAGTCAGAAATATTAGACATATGATTTTAGAAATATCCTAATTCAACACGAAATCATTTCCGATTCCTTAAAAAAAGTTTGTAAAGATGAAGTTTTACTTTTTACATAAATATTAGAATAAAGAATAATTACGTAAGAAGCTGGAAATTTGGGAAAATGGATTCAATCTTTGCATCCCATCTTGTGGAAACTAAACACCAAGTTCATTCTTAAAACCAACAAAAAACTTCAAAATTTTACAGTAAAAAGCTAAATAGCCTGGAAATCTTAGAACAAGTAAAAATTAAAAACGAATCCTGACAAAGTTCTAGCTGAGTAGATAAATTTAAATTTCTTCCCATCTACCTCAAGTGAATATCAAGGTTCCAAACCAGTTCTTTGGTTAAACATCAGGGGCTTAGCTAAACCTTTAGGTCAATAGGGTCGTTAAGAGGGCTCAGTGTCAGACCCCCGGTGGGAACAAACAGTAGTTACATTATTTTAGGGCTGTTACTTAGAAGGTATTAGTATACAGTATTAATGACCACTAACTAAAAGCCAAGTAATCGGAAATCATGGACAAATGTAAAAAAGGTTAGTTTAAGATGCCACCGAAACCTAAGTGAATAATGAAACAGTGCGCGCGGCGGTTATCCAAAATATAATAAATTTCACAACATTTCAACATGAAACCTGTAAAACGACAGTATCTATTTACAAAAATATCTTTAAAAAATTGTAACTTCAAAATTCCAGCCAGGTCGATAGACCCGGTCTGCCTACTCCGGTGAGTTTATATATATATATATACTTTTTTCACAAGCTATTTCAGACTGTACTTGACGAAGCCTTTACTGGCGAAACCATGGCAATATTTGTGAAAAGTACAATTGTTTTTAATAATGCTTGGAGACGGCTTGAATGGGTAATGAAGAAAATGTTTAATATAAGTTTAATATAACAGTTTTTGTTTGACATAGTTATGTAATTATAGATTATCATCAAGTATCGGCGAATTCAAATATTAGTTATCCTAACCCTATTTTCTTAACATTAGCTCAAAACTTGGAATTATATAAACTATTATAAATTCTAAAATACTAAAATATCAGAATTAATTTGTAATGGGCTGGAGAATACATTTGATTGATGTGAAAAATATCAATATAATCCGTTCTTGAGGAAAAGGAGTCTAAGATAATTAATAGAAATGAGTATATAAAATCATAAACTTAAATTCTGTAGATTTATAATTGTTATATTCACGTAATTTGTTTAAGGTCCCTTATTTTTTTCTTCTTCTTTGTCATGCCTTCTCGAGTTTCAATCGATCAAAAGCTGTGTTAGAATGTGATTGGAAATACGACCCTGCACTCTCCTAAAGGGCTAAACACAGACGAAAAACAAGGATTACACTTTTATGACCGATCTCTTCCCGCTTTCCTCCTTCACTTCATTTGTCTTCTTCATCACACCTCGAGACAAGCTCATTTCTTCCATTGTCTTTTAGGTAGTGTGAAAGGCAAGTCCTTAGCTGACTGATTGTCAATGAGACAAACCTAATTCTTCACGTTTATATATAGACACTCAAAGTGTGAATTTCTTTTTAAAACATCCTGAGCATATTTGTAAATCATAAAAAATATTAACTTACGAGGAAAGATGATGTAAGAAAAATAAAAACGTGGCAAACGTGATTTTGTAACTTAATTTGTGAGTAAAATGGACTAGTGCGAAGCCAAAGAGCGTCAACACTTAATGTAGAACGAAAAGTGATTGAATATCATTTAAGTAACAGCGTTTTTGCACGTTAAACTATCTTTTAAATGCTTAAAAAACGTTTAATACAAGTTTCACATCACACAATTTACACTATGATGGTATAGTGGTTTGTTTCGGATATTCGAATAAAGTTACATGAAGGCTATCGGCGATAAACTTCCTGATTTCGAAATGACAGACTAGAGGGAGCTAGTCAACAACAATCTCTACACTCTCTCTGGATTTGACCGTCACTTTTATAACGTATCAATGACCTCATAGTGTAGAGCACATTTTCTTTCGACAACAACGAGACGCGAACCATAGACCATCAGATTAACAGACCAGGACGGTAACTACTAGGCCACTCCCGGTCCAAAGGGGGTAAGAGGAGGTATTGCTCTCTTAACTACAGTAGTTAAATATATTTTATTCGAAATGTTTAAACAACAAACAGTCACTGAATTCATTAAAGATTGATAGGTGGCAACAACTTTTTTGACAAACAATACTTGTGGTTTATTTTCAATAGATCATTAATAAAGATTTAAACTAATATTTCCAATAGTTCTTAAACCCAGTATTAGAACTGGACGATTAGTGATATTTAGTAATAGGTTACATTGGATTAATTGATTTGGTACCTACAAATAACAACAAAAAAATATATATATATTTAGCAGTTCAAAATAAGTGTTAGTGGCAAATAATCTTATTAACTTTTCCTTAGGAAATACAGACTGAGTAAGTTTAATTGCAATATTTTGATTACTTGAACAGATGGAATAATCGAAAATAGAAACCTTAATTTTGATTGGTTGATTGTTCTCGTGACAATCGATTTAATCTTAATTTCGATTAATCAACTGTTGAAATAATTGAAAAAATAATAGTCGGAAACATTGATTTTGATTAGCTGGTTATTTTCGTGACACTCGATGTAATAGAAATTTGATTAATTGATTGTTGAAATAATCGAAAATGCTAATTTCAGTTAATCAATATAATCACTGCTCATAAGTGATCGATTAAATCACCCAGCTTTAAGATAGTAATTAGGCATGGACAGGTGGTTACAGCGCTCGACTCACAATCTACGGGTCGCGGGTTCGAATCCCCGTCACACTAAACATGCTCGCCCTTTCAGCCGTGGGGGCGTTATAATGTGACGGTCAATCCCACTATTCGTTGGTAAAAAGAGTTGGCGGTGGGTGGTGATGACTAGCTGCCTTCCCTCTAGTCTTACACTGCTAAATTAGGGACGGCTAGCGCAGATAGCCCTCGTGTAGCTTTGCGCGAAATTCAAATCAATCTAAGATAGTAATTAATAGTTAATTTCATTCCCAAGAATCAAAACAGGTAAACTATTATAATACCATCAAGGATTCTCTAGCTACTCGAATTTCTGAGAGCTAAGTTTGTCACCTGTACGTCACTTTCAATTTGAAACACTAAAACTCACTAATTAAATATCCGATAGAATAAAACGGGGACTATTTTTGTTACGTTGTCCAAAAATTGCTACTCGAGAACATTTTAAAATAATTATAAATAAAACAGCAACATAAATCACACACTCATGGAAGTAAACAAAACTCGCTACATGTAACTTAATAATAAGAATCAATGAATAGTTAAATACAAAGCGTTGGAGTAGTTTTTATATTATCCCACAGAAATAACCTGTTTCAGTAGAATTGGATACAACTGTATAAAGTTATTGTTCTTGAAACATACATTTTAAATGTATTGTTGCTATTAAAATATCATCATTTGACACCCACCGTTATTAAACCATGAAGTTATAGATTTTAAAGTCCTTATAATTTCTTGTAAAGGATGATAAAATATTTTTCAGCAGTTTAATGAATAAAATATTATTCTTTCATTCTCAGATTTACCTCTAACAGTAAGTCGTCCCAAGGTGGCGCTAGTTATTACCTCTCCAATAAGTCGGTTTCTTGCTTGACAAGAATATTTTCGGTAAGAATAACTCATATCCACGCTTCTAATGTGCAGCTCACCAGTTGGAAACATGATGTAGCGTCCACTAGGGCCTAGTGATTTATTAAAGGAAGTAATTACACTAGATAATTCGCAAAACAAAATAGTTTGGACATTAGTGTTATAAAACAGTATTTACTTTGGTCTAGATAGATTATATGAATTAGAAACAAAAGAGAATAATAGATCAATTAAAATTTATCTATGCGCAAATGTAATAAGGGAATATTCACTAAAGTCTACATTAAGCCAGATCGGACAAACGAAGAGAAAACTGATGCAGTGATATAAAACAACCGTAGTGAGAAACCGTTTAGATAACATGACTTCACGTATTATGTGGTCCAGAGAGATCACGAATCAAGTTACGTGATACAAGCAAGTGCTATGGCGTAGTTGCACTGAAGTTTAGAGTGTACTTTATAACGTAGTACCTACTGACACTAAAACAGATCAGAGCCAATGGAAAACAATAACACAAAAGAAGCATTTCTTAAAATAACTATCTATCTTCGACATATAGACTCTAGGATACATGATTGTGTAAATAAGGTATACTAATGTTTTATGACTTAAGATAAACATGTTTTTACTCGGCTTCCACACTTACTTGATGGATACTTTATTTACATGGATAATGGATCAACCTATGTTTAGTTTAAACATACTTCCGAAGCATAACAGAGATCGCTTTGTAAAGTGTACGGTTTCCCGTAAGACCACGTGACCTTTTTAAAAGACTAAACGAACGACGCTATTTCTTTTGCTTTATAATAACAGTTTTTCATATTCCGCTTAATTAATGAACTTTGTTTTCAGATTTGTGAAACACATTATAGGTGGTCTATTTATACTTGGAATATACTGGAATCTTCTCGTTAATCAGCCCAAAGCACACTTTCTGTTTTAAATTTCGTTTGCTTTTCTGAATTTCAACTTAAACTGTATTGCATGCGTTCATAATACTTAAAACGTAACACATTAAAAATAAGTTTACGTTCTTCCTCTAGTTTTATGGATAAATTATAAGCACGTTAACAGAAAACGAGCACTACTCTATAACTTCACATCTGAGAAAACAAAATCCATATACTGCAAGAACTAGTCATTAATCATGAATAGTTTTAATTTCTTCCGATGATTGGTGCTTGACAGTAATTCAGACCTTTTCCGGAAGGCAGATAATTATCAAAATAAGAGTATAAGCTTCACGTTGAATTCGTATAAAGAATACGAAATCAGCAGTGGAACTTACGCTTACTGAAAACAAAATGGCGACTTAATTTAGCTTAAAAAAGTTCTTCGGTGAGACAGCGGTAAGTCTACGGTGCTATAACGCTAAAATCCGGGGTTAGATTCCCCGCAGTTAACACAGCAGATAAACCAATGTAGCTTTACTTTAAAACAAACACAAAAACACACATAAAGTGAAAAAAGTGTCTAAATTTCAGTTTAGATTTGGAAATATTATACTGTTTGGCTATAGAATACAGTAATTGATCACTGGGGGTTTTTTTTTAGTGAAAAGGATACATTAATCTACCCAACATCTGCTATTGCGGAACATAATGTCATTTTGAAGGTTTTACATCAAATCACAACAGCTATCGGGGAGAAGTTTCAACACAGGGCCGAAGTAACTGTAACGTAGCAGGATAGATTTTGTATATATATATAAAAAAGGCATGTTTTCATCTCCATTTATACAAGGAAAGCGTTTGTAGAGTGGTAGTGATTTATTTAAAAGGACTTATGGGTTCAGTTTTCGCGTACATATATACTACTAAGTTCGTTCGTCTAGATCAAGTCAAAAAGGCAGGTATAAAGCATTCTCTTTTGTTCCTCCTGTGTCGATGACAGCATAACTCGAGAACATTACTAGCTTTTAACGACATTTTGTTTTATTGAATACGTCGTTTGCGTTTAATAAATGTTCTCCTTGAATATACAGTGAACTTTCAAAAAAAAGGGTTAAAAAACCTCTATAAAGTATAGTTATATTGATTTATAACAGTGAGGCAAAATAAGTAGTAAAATAATGCAGAAAGATTTACTACATGTGATTCAGGCGTAACAAACAGACAAAGAAACGTACGCATAGACAAAAAATGTCTTAACATTGGAAACCACTGTGATTAGAAACTTAAAAGTTAAGCAAAAGTCTGTACATTACTTATTTATTAATTTTAATGCTAAACTGCAACTTAAAAATCATCTTTGCATCAAATTGGATAAAGCGAATAAAGAGATCACTTATGAGTAGTGTGATCAGTCTAGGTAGATCAATAACAACGAATGTGATCAAAATAGATACTGTATGCAGAAAATTCACATTTTAATAATTTATGTAAATATACACTAGATGTTTTGAAATAGCTTTTATTAGGTGGGGATATAATGTAAGAAGTAAGCAAGATTTTAATAAATGAAAATTTATTTCTTACTCATCACACTTGAAGGCTGAATAACGGTTCCGGTTGGCTTCTCAGTCCATGACGTCACGGTGACGAAATCTTTCATGTGGTTAGGAATATGACAATGTAAGACCGCTGTGTTTCCAACGGTTGTAAATATGTCATGCACGTCGATCGAGTAATGCTGATTAACAACTGTTTAAATAACAATAAAAAACAAAACCAATTAACTTAGGCAATCTTGAGTAAAAATTAAACTTAGAAGCTAAGAAATCAGTAAAAATATTTCAGCTCACAAGAGTTACTGTTACATTTATATTTAAGGACCACCTCTAAGAAGAGCTTTAAATACTGTTACGTCTCCGTTTGTTAATTAACTTTCCGTAACTTTGTTTCGACGAAATTTTAACGACACAAGTCTTTACTTAATAAAACTGGTTTATTCTTTCCGAATATAACTTTACCGATACACTCAACTTCAACAATCGCGCTAAAACAACGCTATATCAACGAACGTCAATAATACTTCTGACTGCAGATCAATTACACACTATCTACCCAGACACGTTACATTCCCCTCTTTTATATACCAGCCTACCCTGTATCATTGAATACCATTTTAAAGCTTCAACTGCTCCCATTGCGCCCAATAGTGCTTTATCACAGGGCTTAGACTAGACACCTTCTCCCAAGCAGGGCGCACAACACTTGCTTTTAGGAAATCAATTATAGGCTTCAAATCTTGGTCTTTCTCCTGTTCTGCTTTGATATCTGTATTTAGTTCCACTTCATCATCATCAACTTTTTCAGTCGGCTTGACTTCAGCCCAATGACACCTAATTATATTCGCCAAAGTACATGATAGTTCTAGAAACGTTGCGTCACAGTAGTCATGTGACTCGATGACGCAACAATACTTTAAAGATTTAAGTGACTTCCTTAGAAGGGGCCAGGCGTGGCCTAGCGATCTGTATGCTCGGACTGTGAATTCGAGAGTTCTTAGTCATTGCTTGTTACAATAAAAACGCGCTCCAGTTTGGGGTCATGTATACGCTTGTTAGATCCTACTTTTCAGTCAGACGAGAGTATCCCAAAAGTAGGCAATGGACGCTGTTAACTTGTTGCCTTTCATTGAGTCTATCAGTTGAAAATTAGTGACACCGATAACCCTTTGTGTAGGTTTGCGCTAAAAATTCTGAAATAAACAAAGTCCTTAGAATAGTACTTTACTTTCAAACAGTATAGACTTGTTAAACGGATGAGGTATGTGATCAAGTGAGTCCCTAATAAGAGTATAATAGTTACATCTAGTGAATCATTTTATAAAATATGGTAGTACCATATGACGGAATTTTTATTGAAGAACAACAATCTCATTTAGTGTTGGCCCGTTAGAAGAATAATGTTCCTCCTTCAGGCAAATCTCTTAGATAGAGGAGTAAAATGTCACCAGTGAGTGAATGGGTTGGTATAAATGTGTATATAATAAAAAATGGATATGTTACTTCAGTGTTAAGAACTTCTTAGAGACGTCGGGTACTTGCCGTGTACGGGACTTATAAGAGGATATTGGAACGCTATGGCAGATCCTTTAAGAGGATATTGGAACGCTATGGCAGATCCTTTAAGAGGATATTGGAACGCTATGGCAGATCCTTTAAAAAAGATACGTTGTTTCTATTTCTGAACATTAATGAAATTCGTTTGAAAATGCTGTAACCTAATGGAATTTTATGACAGAATAGTATCGTTTTACACTGGACTTGCTACCACACTTCCACTTAAAGAACCTTTTAGTATCGTTTTAAATTGGACTTGCTACCACACTTCCACTTAAAGAACCTTTTAGTAGTCGTTTTACACTGGACTTGCTACCACACTTCCACTTAAAGAACCTTTTAGTATGTTTTACACTGGACTTGCTACCACACTTCCACTTAAAGAACCTTTTAGTATCGTTTTACACTGGACTTGCTACCACACTTCCACTTAAAGAACCTTTTAGTATCGTTTTACACTGGACTTGCTACCACACTTCCACTTAAAGAACTTTTTAGTATCGTTTTACACTGGACTTGCTACCACACTTCCACTTAAAGAACCTTTTAGTATCGTTCCTACACTGGATTTGCTACCACACTTCCACTTAAAGAACCTTTTAGAATATATGTACTGAGACCAGGAGGATCTCTTGAGAGGTATGCCACTATCACCATCACTACCTAGTGGGCATTTAGTGTACTGTATTTTTAGTTAAGGAACCATTCAGAGAATATAGTAGTGCCCTCATAACAGGGGCATGGAACTTCTTTTTTTTTTGTTAATATAATCCAACGTAGTAGAGCTAGTAAAGTCAATAGTATCACAGTACCATTATAATGGACTCTCTAGGAGGGTATGGCATTGATATCTAGTGGACCTGAGTTTTAAAACATATCAGCTTTTGTTAGTCAGCTTAGTGGCACAGTGGTATGTCA